CCAACCAGTAGAGATACCTTTTATTTCTGCTTGCAGGAAATGTCCAATCTGAATAAATAGCTATGAGACTAAATTGCACTTTCAATGATCTCATGGGGCTAGAAGAACAAAACTATACGCATAGAGCAAAAGGTGAGCCAGTTGTAAAACCAGTCTTCCCATGAGCTAGCTGACTTTGGGTCATCTGAGTAGGTCAGGTAAATCCAAGACCTGAACTTGGATTAATGTGTTCTGAACTAGTAGCACCCCAGACACCTGGCAGAGGCAAATGAAAATCCTATGGGAGAAGATACTGTCCTAGGCCTGAAAATAGTTCTATAATAGTTTCTACCACATAGTGAAACATATGGGTATATAAGCAAACAAGATGCCAGGAACAAGCAGAAAAAAGCAACTACTAATAGAATCTGACCCACAATTATCTTAATTCCCAGAATGATAAAATACAAAACATGAAAATAACTGTGTGGGCCATTTTCAATGAAATAAAAGCCAAACTAGAGTACTAAAAACAATAAAAAGTGTATCTGAAAAAGAGCCAATGGAAATTCTAGATCTGAATAATAATATAACCAAAGTAACAGTCGCTGAGAAAATCAGGGGAAGAAACTAAAATGCAGCAGAGAGAGACAAAGAGAAAGAAAACAGAGAAGATTAAAAAAACTAGAAAGCACAGTGGGAAGAATTTAACATACTGTATATTTAGAGTCCCAAAAGAATGAGAGAGAGAAAATGGGGCAGAAAAAAACAGCCAGGAGATAACAGCAGGGAAATTTCCAGAATCTCAACAGAGATCTCAAACTTGACAACAAGTAAAAATTTCCACATAGATATAATAAAGTAAAACTTAAAAAACTTGAGATAAGGATAAATATCTAAAGATCAGCCAGAAAATACAGAACAGATTATTTTAAGACAAGCAACAACTGAACTTGCAACAAGGCAGAAAATAATGGAATAGCCTCAAGATGTGAGGGAAAAATAACTATCAACATAGAATTCCATACCCAGTAAAAGTATTATTCTAGAATTAAGTGAATATCCATAATAACTAAAACATCAAATAAACCCTAAACAGTGAAAAAAAAATTAACTGAATAAAGGTATCATCAGACAAACAAAAGCCAAGAACATGTGCCATAAAATGACTAAGAAATTTAAAAAGATTCATTGGAAGTCACCATAAAGCAAACAAAAAATACAGCCACAAAGTAGAGGATATCTGCAACACACGTAACCTAAGGATTAGTGAAATTCCTAAGAGTCAGTATGGAAAAAGACAGATACCTCAATAGTAAAAATTGGGCAATTAGCAAATGCATTTTTCAAAAGAGAAACACAGGTGGCCAATAAACATAAGAAAGAATAATCCGCCTCATAGTAATCAGGGAAATGTAAATTAAGTTCACAATGAAATATCATTTATATGCACTGAGTAAAAATATAAAAGTCTGACTGTATTAGTGAGGCTACAGAGGAAAAAGAACTCTGACACACTCCTTCTGAGAGTAAAAACATGTTCAATCATTTTTTGGAAAACAGTGGCTTATCTAAGTGTCTGGTAGAGGACTTTTGGCCCCGTTCCCCAGCCATGTGGAAAGGGCCTAATTCCCGATAAGGAAGGCCCTTCCTCCCCCACAGGGAGGGTCCCTTATCTCACTCTATCCTGACCCGGCCCAAGACCAGCAACCTTCCCGCCCAGCGGCCCAATGAACCAATCACCACCCGCCCCACCTGCTCTCCCGTAACCTCCCGTCCCACAAGCTCCCGCCCGGCAGGCTTCCTGCCCAGCAACCAACCTAGCCAATTACTACCCGCCAGGTCAGCTCTCCTACCGCCCCAGGCCCTTTGTCCCTATAAAGTCGACCGAACAAAGAAAGCGCGCGCGATTCCTCCCTTCCCGCTTGAGTCGCCCGGAGATCCCAATAAAGTCGGTACCGGTCACCACGCGTCCTGCCTCGAGTCTATTGAGCGCCTGCCTCCGTGGGTCGGGGTCCCACAGCCGGGGTCACACACTAAGATGCATAAACTGTATAGTCTATAACTAAAAAATTCGTCTCCTTGGCATGTACCTTAAGAGAAACCTGCAGATGTTCATCACGAGACATAATAGAAATGTTCATAGCTTTTAAAAGCCATAAGCTGAAAACAACCCAAATGTCTACCAAGAACAAAAATGGATAATTAAATGTGGCATATCTATATAATAAGATACAGCAAAGAAATGAATAAACTACAGCTACTAACAGAGATGAACTTCAAAGATGGAATTAAGCAAAAGCAACAGGTCACAAAAGAAGACATGGGTATAATTCCATTTCTATGAAATACAAAAACAAGACAAAGCAGGTTGCATGCATTCATAAGAGGTCAAACTATTAAGAAAGGTAAACAAATGATTATTAGAAAAGTCAGAATAAGGGTAACAGAAGGAAGAGAATTTAATTGGCGGTGCTGGCAATGTTCTACATCTCATCTTTAGGGTAATTAAGGTTATTTCTTTAAATATTAGAGTAACATATTTATGTATTTTATCTCACAATAAAGCCAATTTGGCAAGGGGCAGTTTGTTCATACTTTAAAAATTTTGAGTATTTATAATGTTTAAGAATTATCTAGTCTATTAGTCTAACAGCTCAGCCTTCTAAATCCAATCTAAAAGTGTGGAAATGATTAATCAATTTGAACTTGAACTAATGATTTTAAAGTAGAAATCTTACTGTTATCTGAGGCATTGAAATAACCAAGATAATCCAAAATTGTACAGATTAAGACTAATTTGTTCTATTTGTAAAAGATATCAATGTACTTGAAAAGGTGTTAAATCAGGGAACAGAGGTTCTTGAAATAGAAACTGAATATACTGAATTTAGAAATGCAGTTTTAAATGTTTTAAAATTCTACTAACATTGCAAATGTGACAACACATTATCTAAAAGCTCCTTACTTCAAAGTATTTGCTGAAATTTTCTAAACTCATCCATAGAAAGAAAAAAAAATCTGGAGTTTAACCTTAAAAGCTTAAAAAAGAACTAACTCTTTGGGTTTATATCCTTAAGAAATTATCTTTTTAGAGCAAACTTTTAAGTTATATCTTTCTACCAACTTGTTCAGAAGACACCAAACAATTCACATTTAATGCTATCTTTTTCACATGATATACAAATAAACAAAAAAACCTATGCCAGAAGATTTTTTTTTTAATTCCCACACAATACCAATTTATATGCTAGAAGATTTTGAGGGTTAATTTTAATTAAAATTTGTCTAGGCTTATACTCAAAAACACAAACCACTTGACAGTTGATATGGTGACATATGCTACTTTCAAAGTAGTTATTGTTTACTTTTTTAGGGGTAGGTGGGGGTCCTAAAGCAATTAAATGCCATGGAGCTCCCAGAAAAATGCATATAGACACACCACACAATACAATAGTCAAAGATCTCTTGAAAAAGACTACAGGTTAAGGACACTTAAAACTCTCCCTTACACTGGTGGCCAATTATGAAATCACAGCTTAAGTTATTTTAGACATATCATCCAGCAAAATTTAATTCTATGTATATTATTATATATATTCATTTAAAATCAGAAAGGTAATATCTTTAAGAACAAAAGTTCACATATTTTGTTTTCATTTATCACTGAAAAATGACCACAATACCACTTTTTACATGCTAAATAAGCAAAGTTTTGTTTTGTTTACAAGAATATACTGGCAAGGATGAGAGGAACTGTAAACCAGTCTCATACACTGAAATTAAGAGAATATACAATTACGTAACCTTTCTGGATAATAATTTGGAAATGTATACGTAAAGCCTCAACCGTTTGAGGAATATTCAACTCTTGAATCTACTAACTCTACTACTAGAAATTTATTCTAGGGAAATAATTTTATACGTGCACAATTTACGGCAAGGAGGTCATCAAAAGCATTATTATTATTATTTTTTTTTTGAGACTTAGTCTCACTCTGTTAACCAGGCTGGAGTGCAATGGCAAAATCTCAGCTCACTGCAACCTCCACCTCAGGGTTCAAGCGATTCTGCTGCCTCAGTCTCCCAGGTAGTTGGGATTACAGGCGACCACCACCGTGCCCAGTTAATTTTTGTATTTTTAGTAGAGACGGGGTTTTGCCATGTTGGCCAGGCTGGTCTTGAACTCCTCTGCTCAAGTGATCCACCTGCCTGAGTCTCCCAAAGTGCAGGGATTAGAGACAGGAGCCACTGCACCTGGCCTCATGTCATAGTTTATTAACCACTTATTCTAAGAAAAAAATTGGCTGGGCACAGTGGCTCACACCTGTAATCCCAGCACTTTGGAAGGCCAAGGTGGGCAGATCACCTGAGGTCCGGAGTCTGAGACCAGCCTGGCCATTATGGTGAAACCATGTCTCTATTAAAAATACAAACAAAAATTTAGCTGGGTGTGGTAGCACACACCTGTAATTCCAGCTACTCAGGAGGCTGAGGCAGGAGATTTGCTTGCACCTGGGAGATGGAGGTTGCAGTGAGCCGATATCGCAACACTGCACTCCAGCCTAAGCAACAGAACAAGACTCTGTCTCAAAAAAATAAAAAATAAATTTGTTAAGCTTTCTCAATTACAAATATTCCCTTTCTTTAGAAATCTCTCTATAGGTAATGGTACACACCTGTAATCCCAGCACTTGGAGATGACAGCCAAGGCAGGAAGATCGCTTGAGGCCAGGATTTTTGAGACTAGCCTGGGCAACAAAAGGAGAATCCGACTCTACGAAAAATAAAAAGTGAGTCGGGTATGATGGTGCCCACCTACATCCAAGCTACTCAGGAAGCTGAAATCAGAGGATCATGAGCCCAGCAGTTCAAGGCAGCAGTGAGCTACAATCAAGCCACTGCCCTCCAACTTGGGTGACAGGGTGAGATTCTGTCTCAAAAACAAAACAAAACTCAGAAACAAAACCCCAGAATAATCCCATTAAAAAGTGGGCAAAAGCCACGGGGCGCTGGGACCCATGCCCGCTGCCCAGGCCACCTGGACTCAGCCTCGCCAGGTGCCACCAGAGGCCTGGACCCCCAGGATTCCCCGCGCTCGCGCCTCTCGTCCAACTCGTGACCCTCGCCAACCGCCCTGCGGGCCCAGGGGGGCCGGGAGCGGGGCGGTCATCCGGACCAAAGCCATGACCTCTCACTGCCCAGGCCGCCAGCCCGCCCGGAAGCCGTAGACGAGAAGTAGGTAGCCATAGTCGGACTGAACCGCTGGGCCAGCGGGGCAGCCCCCTCCGAGCGCCGGCCGTCCAGTTCCTCGCCCCGATCCCCAACGCCGCTGGCCCAGAGGCAGCCTCAGGTGGGAGGGGGCTCACTTCACCTCGGTGCCTCAGTTCCCCCAGCTCTAAAACAGGGACTGGGCTGCCCAGTGGCCGAGAGGGGCTGGCTGTGGAGCCGAACCCCCGCCCTATAGGTGGCTCGCCGTCCGGTGAGGACGGTTTTCTAAGAGCAATACTTGGCCTGCCGCTCCCACTGCCCCCATAGCACTCACACAATTACCGGCCCTGTCCACGCGCGACCCATGGTGACCTCGGGGAACAACACCTCGGCTTCCTCCAGCATTGGCACCCGGAAGGGCTGATCTGGCTGCACAGGGCACGGGACGAGGCTGGGATCCTGCTGCCCTGATGAATGGACTGACCAACCGAGGCAGCAATGCCCCCACCGTGGCCCCTACGCCCCACTAACCCCCACACCCCATTCCGTGCAATAAACGACAGCAGTGCCCGCCCCTCCCCCAATAATGGGCAAAAGATCTCAATATATATTTTCCAACGGAAGACATACAAATGGCCAACAGGTATATGCAAACAGTTAACCTCACTAATCATCACAGAATCTGTCAAATTTATCTCTCTGTTGTTGCCGTGTAATCTTTGCATTGAATTCACATGGCAGGCCGGGCATGGTGGCTCACACCTGTAATCCAAACACTTTGGAGGCCAAGGTGGGTGGATCACCTGAGGTCGGGAGTTCAAGACCAGCCTGACCAACATGGTGAAACCCCGTATTTTAAAAAAAAAAAAAAAAAAAAAGAATTCACAGTGCAAAAATACAACAGCTGTTAGAAACAAGGGCTGCAGAGGGTATTTCCTGAGTTGTAAGAGTTGCTAGAATAATAAGATTCAGGATCCTAGCAGCATAAGAATATGTTTATGGGCCTCATTCAAGAAGTTTTTTTGTTGCCTTTCTTTTTTTTTTTTTAAGACAGAGTTTTACTCTGTTGCCCAGGCTGGAGCGCAATGGCGATCTCGGCTCACTGCAACCTCTGCCTCCTGGGTTCAAGATTCTCCTGCCTTAGCGCTCACGTAGCTGGGATTACAGGTGTGTGCCACCATGCCCAGCTAAATTTTTGGTATTTTTAGTAGAAATGGGTTTTTGCCATGCTAGCCAGGCTGGTCTCGAACTCCTGACCTCAGGTGATCTGCCCACTTCAGATTCCCAAAGTGCTGGAATTACACTGGAATTGAGACTAGCCTGGGCAACAAAGGGAGAATCTGTCTGTACAAAAAGTAAAATAAAAAGTTAGTTGGGAATTACAGACCTGAGCCACCATGCCCGGCCTTCTTTTAATTTTCTTCCTGAAATCCCAAGAAACTATAGTGCACTGTTGCCAGTGTGGGGTGAGGAAGATAGGTAGGGAAATGAGGGTTCCAAATAAAGCTTCATGCTGGGTGTGGTGGCTCATGCCTATAATCCCAGCATTGTGGGAGACTGAGGCGGATGGATCACCTGAGATTAGAAGTTTGAGACCAGTCTGGCCAACATGGTGAAAGCCCTTCTCTATTAAAAATACAAAATTTAGACAGGCCTCGTGGCAGGTGCCTGTGGTCCCAGCTACTTGTGAGGCTGAGGCAAGAGAATCACTTGAACCTGGCAGGTGGAGGTTTCAGTGAGCCAAGATCGCACCACTGCACTTTAACCTGGGTGACACAGTGAGGCTCTGTCTCACAAAACAAACAAACAAAAAGAAAAAGAATAAAACAATAAGGTTTCAAAGGCCAGCTAGACCAGCAGTGTTCCTCAAACTTTCACATTCACAAAAATCACCTGGGGGAATCTTGCTAAGATGCAGCGGATTTGAATTCAGACTGTGATTCAGTATTTCTTGTTTTTAAATGGAGTTTCGCTTGATCTCGGCTCATTGCAACCTCGCTCCCAGGTTCGAGGGATTCTCCTGTGTCAGCCTCCTAAGTAGCTGGCATTACAGAGGCCTACCACCATGCCCAGCTACTTTTTCTATTTTTAGTAGAGACGGGGTTTCACCACATTGGCCAGGATAGTCTCAAACTCCTGACCACAGGTGATCCGCCTGCCTCGGCCTCCCAAAGTGCTGGGATTACAGGCGCCAGCCACCATGCCCGGCCATGATTCAGTATTTCTAACAAGCTCCCTAGTGATTCCAGTGCTGCTGGTCTTTAGAGCATACTTTTGTAAGCAAGGATACTTAAAGCTAAAAAGGAATGTGGTTTTTTGTTTGTTTTTTGAGACAGGGTGTCACTCTGCTACCCGGTCTGAAGTGCAGTAGTGCAATCCTGGCTCACTTCAAGCAATTCTCCAGCCTTAGCCTCCTGAGTAGCTGGAATTACAGGTGCGCACCATCAGGTTCACCTAATTTTGTAATTTTAGTAGAGCCGAGGGTTTTACCATGTTGACCAGACTGGTCTCCAACTCCTAACCTAAAGTGTTGGGATTGGGATTACAGGTGTGAGCCACCTCGCCCAGCCTCTCTCTCTCTTTTTTTTTTTTTTTTTTTGAGATGGAGTTTCGCTCTCGTTGCCAAGGCTGGCATGATCTCAGCTCACCGCAACCTCCACCTCCTGGGATCAAGCGATTCTCCTGCCTCAGCCTCCAAAGTACCTGGGATTACAGGTGTGCACCACCACACCCAGCTAATTTTTTGTATTTTTAGTACAGACAGGGTTGGCCAGGCTGGTCTCGAACTCCTGACCGCCTGATCCGCCCACAGCCTCCCAAAATGCTGAGATTACAGGCATGAGCCACTGCACCTGGCCTATTTTATTTTTATTTTTACTTATTTATTGAGACGGAGTTTCGTTCTTGTTGCTGTTGTTACCCAGGCTGGGGTGCAATGGTGAGATCTCGGCTCACTGCAACATCTGCCTCCTGGATTCAAGCGATTTTCCTGCCTCAGCCTCCTGTGTAGCTGGGATTATAGGCGTTCACCACCACGCCCAGCTAATTTTTGTATTTTTAGTAGAGACAGGGTTTCTCCATGTTGGTCAGGCTGGTCTCAAACCCCTGACCTCAGGTGATCCACTGGTCTTGGCCTCCTGAGGTGCTGGGATTACAGGCATGAGCCACCACGCCTGGCCCTTTTATTTATTTATTTTTTTGAGATGGAGTCTCACTCTGCTGACGAGGCTGGAGTGCAATGGCATGATCTTAGATAACTGCAACCTCCGGTCCGGGTTCAAGAGATTCTCCTACCTCGGCCTCCTGGGTAGCTGGGAATTACTGGCACATGTCACCATGCCAGCTAATTTTTTTATATTATATTCTTAGTAGAGAGAGGGTTTCACCATGTTAGCCAGGATGGTCCGGATCTCCTGACCTCATGATCTGTCCACTCCCACCTCCCTAAGTAGCTGGGATTACAGGCATGAGCCACCATGCCAGGCCACATTTAGTTTTTAATTCCATTTTCACTTACCTGGTATTACCTTAGGACAGAACCACCTTCAAGAAATCAGCTAGATACCTACAAGAAAAGTATCACACTTCTCTGAGGAACCTTTAAAAGGCATAGGTACTATCTTCATTAGATAATGAGAGTAGCCTGGATTCTCGAGGTTACCATTTTTACACCATAAATTCATTTTTCTTTCTTAATTTAATTTTTTCTTAATTTAATCAATAGGCTGTGCCCAGTGGCTCACACCTGTAATCTCAGCACTTTGGGAGGCCCAAGCGGGTGGATCGCCTGAGGTCAGGAATTCGAGACCAGCCTGGCCAACATCGTGAAACACCACCCCTCTACTAAAAATACAAAAATTAGCCACGCATGGTGGTGCACACTTGTAATCCCAGCTACTCAGGAGGCTGAGACAGGAGAATCACTTTAACCAAAGAGGCAGAGTTTGCAGTAAGCCTCGATCGCGCCATTGCAATCCAGGCTGGGCTGCAGACCGAGGCCCTGATTTTTGTTGTTGTTTTGTTTTTGAGACAGGGTCTCGGTCCTCAAAATCAAAACAATGACAAAAATCAGTGAGGCTCCAAGTTGTGTGAATCTGTCTGCAGCAATAGAGGTCAACTTTGGTGTCCCACTAGCATCATCTACACAGCTAAATTTGACTGACTTTTAAAAAATAAAACTAAAAATAGAATTATCTGGGGAGTTTAAAGACCTCTGATGCCAGGGCCCATTCCAGACCAACTCATTGAGAATAGCTGGGAGTGAAACCCATGCATTGGTATTTTTAAAAATTCTCTGGCCGGGCATGATAGCTCACGCCTGTAATCCCAGTACTTTGGGAGGCCAAAGTAGGAGTATTGCTTGAGACCAGGAGTTTGAGACCAGTCTGAGAACGCGGTGAAACCCTGTCTCTACAAAAGAATACAAACACTACCCAGGCAGTGTTTGTACTGGGTGGGAAGCACCTGTGGTCCCAGCTACTGGGGAGGCTGTGGTGGGAGGATCATTTGAGCCCAGGAGGTTGAGGCTGCAGTAAGCAGTGATTGCACCACTGCAGTCCAGCCTGGGCGACAGAGCAAGACCCTGTCTCAAAGGAAAAATAAAAGCCTCACCAAAATGCAGATACTTTCGAGAGTTCATGCTAGAGTGGGTAACTCTCTGGGCATCTTATATTAGGCATAAGTAAATCCGTATTATAGTAACATTGCTTTTCTTTTTTTGTTTTTTCTTTTTTTTTAATTTTTTTAAAGACAGGGTTTAACCATGTTGGTCAGGCTGGTCTTGAACTCCCGACCTCAGATGATCCACCCGCCTTGGCCTCCAAAGTGCTTGGATTACAGGCGTGAGCCAGCACGCCCAGCCGTAACATTGCTTTTCAAACAGGAGCTCCGAAGCCATCCCCTGCTGCTACTTTGGTCATTATATTGAACTTAAATGCTAGTTGCTGGTAAAGCAGCATGTAAACAGCTCTCATAGCTTTTGGAAAATTGAGATATAATTCATATACCTTACAATCT